CTATCGCCCTCCATCATCCCAATTGTCCAATTGCTCATTTGCTCCAACTCCTTCCTGGTTTGAAACACTATGGCCAGACCAGAAGTACTTTCGGCCAGTTTCAGGAAAGCTGGATGAAGGTCTTTTGGATCTCGTGCATGTACCTCGTCGCCTGCATAATTACAAAGACCTAAGAGAGATTTTGAGAAGTTAAAGTTTGAATAATGGTAGGGTAAGTTAAAATCGCTCATGGTCTACTAGAGGGGCCTTCAAGTCCTTGCTTCACCAGTCATACTGCTCCAAGAGGGGCAATACTACTTTAATTTCCCCGCCCTGGTTGGGATGCTAGTCTCCCCAGGGAGGGGGGGGGTTACTCAACAAAGTTTTATACGGGGAGGCTCCGCTCCGACGTCCAACCCCTCACCCTTTTATGTACCATTTTCAACCAACAAGGTATCCCTTTGTATCCCTTCTATTGACAAATGGTACCATTTTCACAAACCTCGTTTAGAACTTTTTGCATCCCTTTTAACTGCTATAAATACACTGTCTTTTAAATAGGAATAAATTACAAAAACAGAACGTTTTCTCTACCTTTCACAGCCATAAAATGTATTTGCTATCCCTACTGGGCCTTTATACGAAACGAAATGACAGATTTTCCTACCTTTTCACATACTTTAACTCATTGAGCAAAATCCCTGTCGTTTCATATACCTAAAGCCTAAAAAAGGTTGCGTTTCGGGCGGAGCCTCACCGTATAGACCAGTATTGGGGAGTACCCCCCCTCGGCCATTATGACGCGAGGGCACGGCCAATCCCTAAAACATCTGCCTTTAGACTTCAGGTCCGATGTTGCAAGTACAACACAACTTGGAGACAAATTACTGCCCACTTTTAGTGGTTACCGCAAGTACTGCAGTAGATCACAAAAAAATCTACTAAACCTGATGCCAAAAAGTTGATAGCAACATCATGGACTTCAGCCATCATCTTTACTTCCTCAATCGTCGCCTTTGTTGCGTCTTTTGGTCCTGCATCAGTAAATACGTACATAGGAGAACCATCAAAAGTTAGCTTAGCAAGTGCTGCACGGATTCCCTCAAATGTATACTCTGGGCAGTCCCCTCCTCCAAAGGCCTTCAGCTTCTTTATTTCTTTTTCAAAATCCCCAGCTTCTTTCTTCAGGAGCTGTAGTAGAGAGTATTCACTTAGGTGGGCAGCCTCTATGCAAATTTACTGGAACAAAAGAAAACATTTATATAAGGAAAGAGTTCAAATCCCACAGGATTTTCTTGGTATACCAAAATGGCCGCCGTTTCATTGTTTTGGAACACCAATATGGCCTCCGTGACGTAATTTGAATACGCTCTCTGCTAAAGACAGCATCTGAAGGAACGTATTTACAAAGATCTCAAGACTGGAAAACAAAAGAATTATGCCCAATCACTTACAAGTGTATGGTTATGGAAATCCTGCTATTTTAATTTGGTAGTAAAAATAACATGAGAGGGATTCAGTTATGGAATAAGATCTATATAGGGGATCCACACGGGCAGACCAAATAGCCCGATTATTTTCTTCCCATTCTTTCTGTGGAAGAATTTGCTGAATTTGCAGAATTTGCATAAAGCGTAAACAACTGAGACTCCCCAGGATGTCTGCTTAAATTTCTGTTTTTCTTACACGGATAAGGGTCATTAAAAGGTGACAGAATGTATTCCTTGATGGGCACTTTCCGGTTGTAATTGATGATGTCCTTGGCGATGTTTTTAGCTGCTTGGATTTCATCCCTCATACTTCCTGTACTATCTATGACAAACATCAAAGACACATCGCCTTGTACTGCCATAAAGCTATCAAATGCGACTCTTCCGACCCTTTTCCGAAGGCTGCGAAGGAAATCACTTCCCTCATTCGTGAAGCTTCTTTTTCTGCGTCCCTGGGGTCTTGGCTTGGTGCTGAGTAAATACATGATCCGTCCCACGATCTGGAAAAATGGTGGAAATATGTTTTGATATGCCTGAAGAATCTTCAGAATACGTGTCTGAGACTAAGTATGATTTCAAGTTTGGAATTCAACCCTGTTACAGCTGTTTCGTCCGTTATGCAATTGGCTCCCGGGGGAAGGGGGCTCCCATTCCACATGGAAGAGATGAGAAGCTCGTCGACTCGTAAGTAAGTCACGCAACGCCAATATGCTTTCCCATACTGGTAACGCTTAGAGGTGTTAGTAAAGAAGAGAGAAGTATTAAGAAAGCAATATTTGATCGCACTGAATGTCTTAATCTGATCGCAATTAAAATTACATACTAAGTACAGTATCGACTCTTACTTGGCTGTCTTTTTTAGAATATAACCTTTTAGGGGTCAAATAAGGCTTGAGGCACGCCCAGCTCAGGCCATTTATTCTGATATATTAAGACAAGCATCCCTTCTTTTCAGATGGGAGTCCCTCTCAATATATCGTTCCAATATCAGTACTAATACCTCTCAGAGCTGTGGTGGTAGTCTAATCCAATGCTCTCTAATATTGAAAATTCTAGACCTCAAACTTGACCAAAAGGGAAGCTTACACGTTAAAAGTTACTTTCTTTGTAATAAAGTAACTTTCATATGCCTGCCGCAAAGATGCGGAGATAAATATTCTAATTAAGCGTGTTAGGAAAACACCATTTCGTTTCTGCTCCCCCATGTAAGGTAAACCAAGACAGTCTTGCATTCTGATTTCCTAACTGTGGACTCTGGATTCCGTTCCGTATTCCTTGAGCTGTATTCCGGAGTCCAAAGCCAAGGATTCCGGATTCCAAAAGCAAAATTTTCCGGGATTCTGGAATCCATTGATTCCCTTACCTGGGGCGAATGCGGGAGAGTTAAATCAGGGCGCCCTGTTAAATGGTAGCTCTGCGCTTGTGGAGCTGAGAGAACTGATGTAATGAAAATTAGATCGCACATATCACGTTGCCTTTACCAACCAGTTTATTACAAGGAAAACTATAGTTCTTGGAACTATCAATAGTTCTTGGAACTAATGTGTCCTTGTTTGTTACGTTTCAGATATAGCGCGTCACTGTCCTTACCTGTCTTGCGTATTTATGGTTGTTTCTCTGGATAGCTCTCTCGACAAGCGCTTTTAGTTTAGGTAGGGTATCATGGCTGAACCTAACGGCATATGCGTTTGCATTCACCAAGGCTAACTCCACATCTTTCAGTGCTTTCATAAATTTGTTCGAGGGCGAAGTACGTGGTCTGTAAACTTCGCGTTTCGTCGAGTTGACAATTGTTGTTTCATTAAATGAGATGAGTACTAACCGTCTTCGAGCATTTTCCCGGCCCGCTTGGACTTTGACTATTACTTCCCTCGGCAAGTTCTTTCTCGTTGGATGATCAAGGAAATTATCAATATCTTCAGGTTGTAAAGTGAAATATTCATCGAACTCCGTTTTGTTGCTTTCATTTTCACCATTTTCTTCAGTTAGTTCCACAAGTTTTACGAAGCTCGCGACGCATTCTTGAATTCCTCCACAACTGTTATTTCGTATAAAATATTTTTTATTGACCAGCTTCGTTTTATTCTTTGGCATTAGGTTAATATCCACGGTTTGTTGGGACCCACGCGAAAAATCTAACAGAGCTTCGCGGGTGAAATGCAGCGAAGGCATAACGTCCCTGAAGGTTTGTTTTGCGGCAAACAACAACGAAAAGAGAGCTGTTACTAGGAAGAGGAAGAAAATGCGTCTCTCCATGATCTTCAGTTGTTTTTACTGTGTTGACCAGTGGGACTACTTGATATCTTGATGGGTTTAGATTGTGATTAGAATGACCAAAGAACCCTTCGAAGTGTATTAGAAACAATTCATTTGAAATGAAATCCTCCGCACTTCCGTTATTTTGTTGCTCATATGGCCCGCCGGGGTAGCAAGTATTTGATATTATATTTCATCTCCCCAAAGAAAAACAAAGCACGTAGTTGTTTTTTGGGATTAAATAGGTCAAAGGGCCGGGATAGCTCAGTGATGACTCGGTCACAGCAGAAACCTATAAGGGGTTGATTCAACCACTCAGTGGGTTTGTGGCCACAGACAAATACCTAGGCATAACGTCCCTGAAGGTTTGTTTTGCGGCAAACAACAACGAAAAGAGAGCTGTTACTAGGAAGAGGAAGAAAATGCGTCTCTCCATGATCTTCAGTTGTTTTTACTGTGTTGACCAGTGGGACTACTTGATATCTTGATGGGTTTAGATTGTGATTAGAATGACCAAAGAACCCTTCGAAGTGTATTAGAAACAATTCATTTGAAATGAAATCCTCCGCACTTCCGTTATTTTGTTGCTCATATGGCCCGCCGGGGTAGCAAGTATTTGATATTATATTTCATCTCCCCAAAGAAAAACAAAGCACGTAGTTGTTTTTTGGGATTAAATAGGTCAAAGGGCCGGGATAGCTCAGTGATGACTCGGTCACAGCAGAAACCTATAAGGGGTTGATTCAACCACTCAGTGGGTTTGTGGCCACAGACAAA